ATATCAAATTGGTTTACTCGAAGTATATTATATTAACTAGAATTATATATTATTTGTGATTTTTTTCCCAATTTGATCTAAACCTAAGTTGACATCTATTTAAGTCTTGACAATATTATTGAGCGTTTAGGGGCCACTTAAAGCGGCCCACAAACGGGCAATATTATTGCGAAATATATACAGGGTGGGGCGCAGTAACTTCCTTTTTTCCGAGAGCAAATTAAAAACAAGTACTGCTTATAAAAAATATTTATTTTCTAAAAATGAATATATGCAATTGAAAGTTTTAATTCATATTGTTTTAAACAAAACGTTTTGAAGATGGCAGCCTCCATTATCTATGCATTGTTGTACTCGATTTTGAAAGCTTCCCATTACACGTTCCAACATAGTTAGTGGAATTTGAGCTATTTCTTGCCGAATACAATTTTTTAGCTGCAGAAGGGTTGCGGGGCGATGTTTAAAAACCTCCGCTTTTTAGATATCCCCACAAAAAAAATCGCAGGGGGCTATATCAGGCGAGCGCGCTGGCCAGGTGATGTCACCCCGAAGAGAGATGAGTCGCCCGGGGAACATTGCCCTTAAAACTTCCATACAAGCACGGGATGTGTGGGCGGTTGCACCATCCTGTTGAAACCATACATTTTCTCGTTCCATTTCTTCAAGACGTGGTGCAAAAAAAGTTTGCAACATGTTCACATACCGCTGTGAATTGACGGTAACTGCTCCTCCATTATCATCCTCGAAGAAAAAAGGACCAATAATCCCATTTCTAGACATCGCGCACCAGACTGTCACTCTATCACTGTGCAGGGGCCTCTCATGAAGTTATTGTCACTCCAATAGCGCATATTTTGCTTATTGACGCAGCCGGATAGGTGAAAATATGCTTCATCACTAAAGAAAACCAGTGCGTCATGGGGTAAATCTTCCAATAAAGTTTCGCATGCCGTTACGCGGTTATGAAAATCACGGGGTAAAAGTTCTTGCACAACAACCATTTTGTATGGATGAAAGTGAAGCTCTTTGTGAAGTATTCGACGCATTGATCGGTTAGATATTCCTAGGGCTGCCGCATGCTTGCGAGCAGAGCGCCTTGGAGATCTCAGAATGGACTGTCGAACTGCCTCAACATTTTCTGGCGTTGTAACGGTCTTTTGTCGTCCCGAGCCTTTTTTGATCACATTTCCGGTTGTTCTGAAGTTCTCTACCCACAAAAGAATTGACTTACGGTCGGGAACTGCACCCCTGGGCTGAATCCCAAAGCGGACACGGAACGCTCGTTGCACAGCCACAAATGAATTGCTCGAAAAATACGCTTCCACTGCAAATGCACGCTGTTCTCTTGTCCACCTCATTTTTACGACTGCAGCGTATACAAAACAAAAGTTGCCGAGTGCCTGCGTTCAGCGCCTGTTTCCCCACTCTTCTACGATCTCACCTGCTGTTACAGTGTGATCGCAAAAAAAGGAAGTTTCTATGCCCCACCCTGTAGATTTGTGCAATAATATTGACCGTTTAGGGTTTACATGGAAAGGTTGCATAATATATTGTGTCAATCAAAAACAGTTTGATTTTTATTGTGCAATAGTAATTAGTTTGTATCGTGTGTGGATAATATTGCACAAGAGTTCAGTAATTTTCGTTTTCTCTGCGTGTTTGTCTCGCTGCTCGTCTCTATTTAGAATATTTAGATCAGTTGTTTGTCAACAAATATGGGATCAAAAGCAAAAGAGAAAGAAAGGCGATTTATTTTAGAAGCCATCGAAATGTACCATTCTTTGCTAGCTTTATGGAATACAAAAAGCAGAATACTGGCCTCTTTTCTTATACCAATCTTTGATCCATTTACTTCGACACTTTTGTTTCTTTGTTAAACAAGTGGCCAAAACAATGGCAATATATAGTAGTTGTTTTTTTCTTATCCATGTTAACCAAAGTGCAAAATGAAACTAGTTATTGAACAAATTCATTGTACTCTTTGGGGATAACTAACAATATTATTAGGCAATTTTAATGCGCAAACATATTGACCGTCTGTGGGCCCCTTAACAATAATAAATTAGGGTCACAATATCACAAATAAATTAGGAACTTTATAACTAAACTATGAACTAGAAATTTAATATAGTTTTATAGAATAGCGGTACACACATTTAACATAATAATCGTCTCGATGTCTAGTTTTTTTAAATCCAAACGGTAGTCGACAGCGTTTGGTCGACAGCGGTCCGTAGGGTTTTGTCAGCTGTGTTGTCATAACCTTGTGGTCAGCTGTTCGTCGTATCTGCCTGTATATAATCGTGATAGGTTCAGGCTTCTGTTAAAACTATGGATTTGATGATTTCAAAGTTGATGGTTTGAGAGGCATTGTGGTTTAGGGAGAGACCCTTAACTTTACACTTTATGGAATATTCCTCGGCTTTAGGTGAATATACCTTATACGCATAATTTTTGGGATCTCCAGACATGAATTCGTCAATGTAACTTCCCTCGCCATACCCCTCCAGTTCATCCGTCATTTCACCGTGGAAATTTCCAAGCGGAATATCTTGTTGCCCCTGTTTTGATAAGTAAATAAGCTATCTGTATCCGCGTAAATAGCGTTATCTCCGACTTTTTCCAGGTAGCTATAAAGCTTAAATCGGGTTTGAGCCGTAGTAGAGGCGGCCAGACATACGTTCACCATATGTTTCGTCTTTAAATTACCAGTTTACCAACAAAGTGTCGTCGTCCACTGGTAATTTGGCGTTGACGTCGGTTGCAGGATTGTTTAGCATGGAAAACAGTACTTGTTGATTCACGATAGACGTCTTCCCTTGGTTTTCCCTTTGACCTAACTTGCCCCAAAACGATGTGATTACTGCTTTTTCAAGCTGCCTAAGACCAGGATTTACAGAAATATGCTTTCCAGGTTTAGTGTAACGCCTTCCTTTTCCAAATATTCACGCACATACTGGTCCTTTGATTCAAGTGTTGTACAGTACGAAGGCTAACCTGACGATTCCTGCTTGATTTTGAGGAACTTGCTAATATGTCCGTTGAACAAACTCGGGTCATATTGCAGGAATTCTATTTCTTATATTTCATATATTTGTAACACCTGGTATTCTTTTTCCAGCGCCTTCACCACTTCGTTAATAACCCAGGTTCTGCTTATTACCCTTTCTTCGACGTTATGATTACACTCTCTGATACTTTTTTTTCCACAGGTACGCAAATTAAACATGAGTTTATCGTTTATTTTTACCTGTAATACAGGGTGGATCAACTGTTGAAGTGGAAGAACTTTACATTTAATCAGATCGTCAGTTTCGTTTAAGGTAAGTTTAGAGCACTGTTTTCCGACGATAACTTCCGGATGTCCTACGGGGTACTTTCCATACCTTTTAACCCACGGGTAAAGTGAGGAAACATCGGATTTGTCCTCCCTCCTGGCACTTGTAGTAAGTCTTCATATTTTCCGTGCGGCCCCCGTAAAAAGTCTCACGCGGATTTAGCGGAAAGTTTACAAGTAAAAGATGGTCTTCGGTATACTGCTTGATTTCATCGTTCATATCGTGTTGGAAGTCACACTCCGCATCTCGATAACCTCATAGTCTTGGTCCATTAAATGCTGGATCTTGGAAACTGTAATTTCATATCGAGAATCCAGTGTCTGTGTAGGGTCGTCTTTGAGCGGTACTGGTCTCTCGTACTTGTAACATATTGGTCATCTGTGGTAATAGCACCCGTGAAACTCAAACACCTGTTTTGTTATGTTGCAATATCCGTCGACTTTGCACCCCGCAACGATACTCTCTTGTTGTTTTGCTGCATGTATTATCTCAACTCCTCTCTGTTTCTCCTCTCACAATAACCACTGGAGTGCAATCTTGTTTTGGTTATTGCCGAACCTGTACCCGTTTTTCGGTATGATCCCTATGGTCTCTGGTTGGAGGAAATTTCGCCGGAAAATGTTGTTGCACGCGCTAGGTAGTGTTGAGACTTCCGTAAATGGAAATACGTTCCCCTCATCTATCATGAGTTGTCTGAATTTCAGAGAGGCTTGGGTAAGAATTTCGACGTCGGATACGCAATAATCAACAAATTCCTTCTCGAAATCATGTAATACAAACTTTCCTTATATTGAAATTTAAGTTAAAAATGTTGCTAACGGCTGCTCTTTTATTGGTGGCGGGGTGGGAACAAGCATTTGCTTCTGCACTATGGAATACCAAAGAAAATCTTACAAAAACTACTGATCCTTTTTAAAATCTTAACAGTCAAAAGCTATATGGGACCTTCATCCATCTATGAGATAACAAAATTTTTAACATTTAACAAAAAACAATATTTTTAGAGATTGTGTTATAAGGTACGATCCAATTAAAAATATTTTCGATAAGAGACCGTTTAAGGCCCGAAATTTAAGTGTTGTAAGGGTTTCCCAATAATTTATCTTTGTAAAAGGTAAAATAAAAGTTCAAATAAGAAGGACATAGTTTATCACTTATATATCGTGAAATTATGTTTTAAAAATTATGCCACTTAAACGTCCGCCGCGGCTTTGCCTGGTGAGTCGAATTCTGCGAGTCCAGTTTTCGATGACCTGATTGCACAAGTGTGGTTCAATCGGAGCAATTTCTTGTCTGATGTTGGCTTTAAGAGCGTCAACAGTTCGTGGTCTGTCGGCATAAACACGAGGTTTAAGGAAACCCCACAGAAAAAAAATACAACGGAGTTAAATCGCATGATCTTGGCGGCCAGTTGACGTCGCCATTTCGCGATATAACAGACCCCTCGAACTGCTCATGCAATAATGTTACTGTTTCATGTGCAGTATGGCACGTTGCTCCGTCTTGTTGAAACCACATGTTTCTAAGATTCATATCACTCACTGTAGGCCACAAAAATGTTCTTAGCATAGCTCTATATCGCTCACCGTTGACAGTAATTGCAACTCCTTCTTCATTTTCGAAAAAGTAAGGACCGATTATTCCTCCGGACCATAAAGCACACTATACGGTTACTTTTTCGGAATGCAGTGGAACTTTGTGAATGTCCCGCGGGTTTTCATCTCTCCAAATTCGGCAGTTCTGCTTGTTAACGAAGCCACTCAACCAGAAATGCGCCTCGTCACTAAAGATTATTTTTTCCCCAAAATCAGGATCATCCTCCATGTAGTGTTCTAGCGTCCAGTTAGCAAATTCACGTCGCAGTCTATGATCACTGGGCTTTAATTCTTGAGTCAATTGCAACTTATATAGGTGAAGATGTAAGTCATAATGCATAATTTGCCAGGTTGATATCCGTGAAAGTCCAAGTTCTTGAGAACGACGCGGAATAGACTGTCTCGGATTCTCATGAACACTTTCCCGAACAGCAGTAATATTTTCACCGAATCTCACTCTTCGTTGACGTACAGGCGTTGGTCGATCTGCCACTGAACCACTTTCTTTGAATGTTTGCATTAAACAGCGAATTGTGGACTCCGTAGGACGATCATGGACACCATAAACTAGACGAAGTGCCCGGAATGTTTGCCGGACAGAACACTGGTTTTGGTAATAAAATTTCACGATTTCGACACGTTGTTCAGTTGTATACCGCTCCATATTAAATGTCAGGGCTTACTGAATATTCCTGGCAGAGATAACGCGTGTGTGACTGTCGACCCTGCAATGCGCTGTTACCAAAGATCGAGCGTTCTTATTGGGAAAGCCCTTATGTAAAAAATATCGACGTAACTTTATAATAAAACAAAGTAGCATTTGGTAAATGAAAATGCTACAATCAAATAGATAATTCTCCTCTACACGTTCCTGCTACCATTTAATGAACTTTTCCCTATCTTCTGTCTTCATATTATTAGCGTCATAATATTCGTCGGCAAGTATCGTACAAATATAATTCTGGTTTTCAGATTTGTTAAAAAGGTGGGGAAAATACCCTTTCGTCAATTCATTTAATCCGAATGCTTTGGGGAGTTTCGATAACGCAATGGGAAAATAATTGAGGGAGTCCAGGAACTTGACGTTACCCACAGACATGAGAATTAACTTGGTACCTCTGGTAATAAGTTTTGGCGTCAGATCTGTTTGCTGGAGAATATGATCTAGGATAAATTGACGGTCAAACCATTACGTCGTGTCCTTTTAGTATTTGACGTCTAGCCGCACAGAACGCAAAAATTAGTTTACTGGAGTCATCGTTAAGGCACTTGTGGCATCTTTGTTGAAATACACATAGATTAGGTTCGTGTACCATCTTCTAATTTCTGCTCCTGCCTCGTTTCCAAATCGTAAAAAATAAACAGAGTGTTCTTCATGGTTGTTTGGTTGGCTGCTTGCATCGCTACCAATTAGCACGTTATCTCCTATGGACGATCCTAAACTGCATTAGCTGTTTGACCTCTAATGTTGGTGCAGGCTTCTCATGAGGCATATATGCCGAGCTGATAAGAAGGTTTCTACCGCCTGATTCCTCTAATCTAACAACTGTCAGATCTGTGGAGCTGTAATTGTGACATAAATAGGCATTGCAATGTTTTTTAATTAGAATACATGATCTGGGTTTACCGTTTCCATCGCTGTAATCTTCCAGCTTATAGAAAAACCTGTAATACCGGCTAATAAGACCCTTTGTTCTAGAGTTGTGTATCCATGGTTCTTCTCTGAGAGCGACGTCGATATCTTCCTCGCTCAGAAAGACCATCAGATTATCCGAGGCGCATCTAGAGTGCTTAAGATTCGCCTGGATCATCCTCATCGCTTCCTGAATCTGTCATACACTCGAAAGCCTCAACTAGCTTTTCGATGGGTATGTCGTCGGTTTCAGTCTCGTCACTGCCTGGATGTGAAAAATTTTTAGTTTGGCAAGTCTTACGCCAAACCGCAATTTATTGTCAATCTTTTCAAGAGGCTGTAGACTGTCCTCGTTGATGAGCAGTACGAAAGACGTACTGTTCGGTGATTCCTCCGCCTGCCTGACCTCCGTCTGCGCTCAAGACGTAGTCATCGACCATTTGCGACATCCTCGCTTAAATCATTAACCACTGTTCGTGGGTTATTTTTCTACTCGTCACCTTTCCATTCACGAGGGCAAACCTGAGGTGGTCACGTGTTCTTCACACTGGGACACCCTGTATCCTGCTGAATGTAACAATGGTGCGGCTGCGGATAGTGTTTCTTGCAAATCGAACAAAACTTCTCGCCGCAGTTATGTGGTCTGTCTGATCAGTATCTTTACCGTATGAACCAACCTTCTTATGGTTTTCAAAACATGTTGGTCCTCTGAATAAACGAAGGGAGTCTGGGCATTTAATTTTGGCATTGTCTGTTGGGTAGGCGGGGTTTTGGTAGGACCCGGGCAGATACCGTGGTCGTAAGGGATGCTGCAGTCCTCACAATAGGATCCACAATAAAATGCGGCCGTCAATGATGTTATGACATTATAGTGTTCTTCGTGATATAGCAGGTGGATCTTTTTTTCTCTATCTTTCTTGGGTACTGGTTTAATTTTAAATTCCATCTTACGCCGAGTCAATCCGAAACGAGGAACTTTTTTTCAAAATATTTTTCACTTACAATGATGAATTTTTTCCATTTTGAGGTTATGTTAAGCGCTGCTGGTCCTACAATGTGACACCTGCTAAAGCTCGATGAAAACTGATAGTGATTTCTGCGGTAAGCGTCCTTTTATACCTTTGACAATTATGGTGGCGTGTGCAAAGGTAATGATGGTGTCGTGACCTTGACCGGTTAGAGTTGATGAATAAAACGTTGAAGAACTTTAATGTAGTTTTATTTTAGTAGAGAAATTTACGAGTTAAAATAACTAAGATTAATTACTTAATAAATTAGAAAATACAAAGAACTTAATTTAACTATTTGGAGTATGAGAACTATTCTACTGTATGAAGAGTCGAAAGAACAAGAACATTAGAAAGAAGCTTGTCAAAGGCTTTATATGAAATATGAATGACGCAAATACTGGACACTGGTCTACGTGTTGCGTGATAGACATGTGGCTAGATCTTTTAAATAGTTTAACACAATCGTAACTGAACGAAGTACATACTGAT